CCCCCCCCCCCCCCCCCCCCCCCCCCCCCCCCCCCCCCCCCCCCCCCCCCCCCCCCCCCCCCCATACTCTCTTCCTCTCTTTCCCTTCTGTCAACCAGGAGACCATCACGTCTCCCTTCCTCCTTCTCCCTCCAGGGGAGTTGGGCTTTCTGAAATCCATCAGCTTCTCTCCCTCTCCCACTTCTCTCCTGCTGTCGGATGGATTTATTCCTTTTCTAAACAGTGAACATTGGAAATGAGACTGTGGGTTTTTTTTTTTTTTTTTTTTTTAATTTTCCTTTTTGGGTTTTTGAGCAACCTCATGTCCCCTTCCCAGGGAGCTTCCTTATTTACCTCTTAGAACTTGGATGGATGGGAGGTAGAGCACTGTATTTCAGCATGCTTTGTTTTCTGGTGCGATTACATAGCAAGGCTTTAATGCCATTTGGGCAGATAAGCTTCTGCACCTTTGTTGTACTTAACTATGTTTTCTTCTCTCATCTCCTCTTTGTCTTTTCTCTTTTTCCTCTCCCCCTTTTCCTGCCTCCTTCCTCCTGGCCTTCTTTTCTCTTTCTTTACCTTTCTCAGATTATCCTTCCAGGTTTTCGTAATAAATTTATATTTTGTAAAAGGATTTTGTTGTACAAGGTTTTGCATCTTCACTGAATCTGACTGGCTTTTATTTTCTTCTCCAAAATCAGGTTTTTGTTCTTAACATCTTCTCTCCCCATCATGTCAGTCACTGTTTTGGTTTTGGCACCATCAATATCAAATGTACAAACGGTTCTTGCTAACCAACACCAGGTATATCTGATGTTCAGATGAGTTCCAATAAAAATAATTTTTTTTTCAAAAGGTGTCCTTTCTTGAGTGCTGGAGGGCTTCTGAGCAAGTCCAAACAGCTCTGTTTAGCCCAACAATAAGCCTGTTCCTTTAGACTGGCCAAAGGTGTATTACCTCATTTGCTTAATGGGAGTCCTGACCCAAATGTGGGGTGCCAATTTGGAGGACTTTGGGCGGGAAAGTTGGTCTGTGAGTTCTGAAATTGGAAGTGGAGTTCAGGTATGTGTTTTCCCAAGGCAGCTTGGTCCAGTGAGGACATGCAGGTCTAAGCAAAGATCCTCTGAGCCTGTTTACTCCGTGAGGATGATGCCTCCTCGGTAGGTGATTCTGATGTGAGGGTCCTGTGAAGTAATGGGAGAGCAAGTGCCTGGGGACTCCTGACATTCAGTTGCAGTTTGGTTTTCTTCTGGAATTTTCAAAAGCAGTGATTTTCATACTACTATCAGATCCCAGGAATGGTTTTTTAAAGGGGTTCTGGGGCCAGTGGGGGCCCACCAGCTCTTCAGTCTGGGCAGTTCAGCTGTTCTCAGTTTTAATATTGTGTCTCTGTGTACTTTAAGGAGTTTTTCTTCTATAAAGGACCTTTAAAAAATACTCCAGAGATCTAGGACTAGAGCAGAGGGGAGGAGTTTCCCAAACCTAGGGTAGTTTTGCTCAGTTCGTGCTATCCAATATGGAGCCACTAGCCATGTGCAGCTGGTGAGTGCCCTTGCAACGTGGCTACAGCAAACTGATGAGCTACGAGTGTAAATACATACCACACCTCAAAGGCTTAGTATGAAAAAAGGAACGTAAAATAGCTTCATAACTTTTATATATGTGTTGAAATATTTGGGGTATGTTGGTTTAAATAAAATTTTATTAAAATCACCTGTTTCTTTTTCATGTTTTAATGTTGCTACTAGAAAATATTAAATTACCTATGTGGCTTGTATTTGTGGCTCCCACTATACTTCTTGGACAGCACTGCTCTAGACCTCCAGAACCAGCAGTTGTGCCACTGCTTCCACTCCCAGGCCTCACATAAGCTGAGACTAGGTAGAGCCGAGAGGGTCAGCTGGCCCATGGGCGGGCCCAGGCTCTCACCAAGGGTTCCTTTTGGGCACCAGCCTTCATGGTGCCAAGACTTTCTTGTGTGTTAATGAGACACTGCTGGTGTTGGGAGCAGAGGCCCAGGCAGCTGGCCCTGGTTGCTGTGCTGTGTGCTAGAATTATGTAATATGTGCTGCCCAGAAAGGCCACTAGATGCTGCTCTGTGATCCCTGAAAGAACAAAGCAGACTTCCTCAGCAGCCAGGATTCAGCTGGCTCTATTTGGAACCCTTTATGGAAGCTGTAGCTGGCTGCAGCCTTTGGCCTCCCTTCCTCAGGGTGGTATGGGAAGTGGGGCATGCAGAGGAGCAGACTCCACTGATCCCTGGACATCCTAGCCAGCCCAGGACGGTAGCCAACAAACAGGCTGACTGATTGATGGAGGTGAGATTTGGAGATCTTTCCTGCAGTTCTCTGATCAAGATGACTGGGAAGAAAACAGCTCTGCCTTCTGGATCCTTGATTCTGCCAGAATTATTGCCCTGTCTTCCTTGCTTCCCAGTTGGAGCAGTGATGGGAGTTGGTGGTTGGGTGGTGGTGGTGGGTTGAGTGAGCAGAGGAGCTAGGTGGTGGCTTGAAACAGGCATGACAGGCTTGGCCTGGATGGGTATGGGTTCCTGACAACCCCTCTCAGTCACAGCAGCGAGTGGGCTGGTGCGTCCCACTCATGCTCAGTTGCAAACATTACTGCCTTTGACTAGCGTGGGGTAGTTCTGCGGAGAACTTTTTGAAGGTTCTAGGGAAGGGCTGGCTGGACAAAGACGAGAGAGGGCGCTGGAGAGTTGCAAACATTACTGCCTTTGACTAGCGTGGGGTAGTTCTGCGGAGAACTTTTTGAAGGTGCTAGGGAAGGGCTGGCTGGACAAAGACGAGAGAGGGCGCTGGAACATGGCAGGCTAGGAAAGTGCAAACGCGTGCTGCTTTGGTTTGGGAAGCAGGATGGGGTGAGGTGGAGCTTGGTACTGCCCACCATGAATTGTAATAGCTAGAATTGAAATTCAGAATTACAGGTAACAGAGTAAGCCCAGGCTTTTCTGAGGGGTGGGTTACAGGCATATTTTGGGAAATAGAAAGCATTTCACCTGAACACTAGCATTTGAAGGGGGCTTGAGACATAGAAAAGGCAATGTGGACATGAAGCAGAATCGGGAGCTGGGCCTCCACTAGGTGCTGCAGGAAAAGAGGCTGGGGTTCAGCTTTGTCTCAGGAAGAGAGACATTGGGCCAGGCAGTCTGAAGGACCCACAGGTTACTTCTTTGAGCTTCTTACTGTGAGGGGAAGGAGGGTTGAGGACACCTCCAGTTGAAGAACAGGTAGGGTTGTAAAATGAACATTCAGAAGGAGGGAGGGGACACATTGACCTAAGAGCCTGCCTTCCTCTTCTAAGTTACTGTAACAGTTGCTGTGAATGCTCTGAAGTGCTGGAAAAAGTAGCCTTCTGGGTGCAGAACAATGCATTTTCCACTCTGTGGTCACCAAGGTCCCTAAAGCTCTGAATTACCACTATTGACAGAAGTCTCTGGGTGGTACATAAACAAATTCTAGCACTTTCTGACTTGATAGCAGCACTCTTCTGAGTGATACCAGGTTCCTCTTCAGTACCCCCAGGGGAGTTGGCAGAACTGGCACAAGTTGACAGGCTAGTATGCTGGAGCGGCAAGGGAATCGGGGATTATCCTCATCTGGAGTGCTAGTTTCCTCCTTTCTAGGTTTAGAGATGATAATCTGGATTAAGAAATGGTTTGTCTCCTGTTTTCCCAGGTTTTTGGTCAGACTTGAATCAATCCCCAGAACCAAACTAAAATAAAAGAATAAACAAGTGGCCTTTACGAAGAATCTGGATTCATGTCTGTGAGAGGAACAACTCTTATTCAGAACCAGAATGTACTCAATTTTACTGGCATCGAGTTTTCAAATTATACATATTGAGAATGAAAACCATTTAAATCAGAGGGTCAGAGGCTGGTTGGAGGAGCAGTTGCTTCGGTTATAACACAACTGATAAGAGGGTGAGTGGAAACTTCAAGGTCGTATTTGTGACGGGCCTCAAGAGTGGCGGGGCATCCGCGAGCCAGGAGCCTCAGGGTGCTGTCCCAGGTGTGGTGTGGAGAAGCCAGTAGCTGTGCAGTGGCCCAGAACTGCCACGCTCTCTGGCCTGGATTTCTCAGACGTACCCGGGCCGCGGACATGTACCAAGACTGAGGGAACGTTGGCCCCGGAGGGGAAGGCTCTAAAGCAGGGGGCTGTCCACTCGGGATGCGCGTAGCACTCAGGTGGCCTCAGGAAAGGGCTTTCTTCCCCGAGCTCCTTGTCTGCTTTCCCCGGGGACGAGGGTGTTCAATAGGAGGCGGGAGCCCGGGGCCCCGGCCTCCGTGGGGAGTTCTTCACGCGTCCCTGGCGGCAGCCTCAGCCCGGGCGGCCCGCGCGTTGCGAGGGCGGGGACGCGGCCGGCAGCTGCGGGCGCCGCGGCGGGAACAAAGGCAGCACGTGTCTGGGCGGGGTCGGCCTCGGCCCCGCCCCCCGGCGCGCCCCATCCCCCCCTCCCTT